GCTGGCCTGGTCACCCCTAACCCCCTGCCATCCTGATCTCCCCCCTAACTGCCTCTGCCTCAGCCTCCACCACCATGGCTTTGTCTGGAAGGAAGCTGGATGTCCAGAAGATGGTCAGTTGACCCAGTCTAATTAGCATATTACCCTTTTATTAGTATAGATTTCTTATGCTGTACTTTATATCCCATGATTGATTTTATAACTGGGAATTCCCAATCCCTTCACCTTTTTCACCCATTCCCCCAACCTCTCTCCCATGTGACAGTTATGAATTTGTCTCTGTATTGATGAGTTTCTATTTATTTTGATTTTTAGATTCCACATATAAGTGAAATCATATGGTATTTGTCTTTTTCTGTATGACTTATTTCACTTATCATACTACCCTCTAGGTCCATCCATGTTGCAAATGGCAAGATTTTATTTATTCTATGGCTGAATAACATTTCATTTTATATATGTACTAGAGGCCCGTTGCACAAAGAGATTTGTGCAATAGGCCTTCCCTTCCCCTGGCTGCTGGCACCGGTTTTCTTCCGGCATCCAGGACTCTGGTTTTCCTCTGGCACCCAGGACCCAGGCCTTGGCTCCGGACGGAGCCTTCGGTCTTCTCTCTGCTGCTTCGCCCCTATATATGCAAGTTAACTGCCATCTTTGTTGGGTTAATTTGCATACTCTCCTGATTGGCTGGTGAGCATAGCAGAGGGACAGTTAATTTACACATTTGTCTATTATTAGGTAAGATTACATCTTTATCCATTTGTCTATTCAGTGGACACTTAGGTTGCTTCCATATCTTGCCTATTGTAAATAATGCTGCAATATACATAGGGGTGCATATATCTTTTCAAATTATTATTTTGAGTTTCTTCAGACTAAGGTAGTTCTATTTCTAATTTTTTGAGAAACTTCTATATTGTTTTCCATAGTGGCTGCGCAATTTACAGTCCCACCAACAGTGCATATGCAGGCCCCTCTAGAGGAGCCCCTGGGTCTCCAGTAGGCCTTTGTCTCACTCACATGCAGTCCCTGCTGATTTCTCTAGCCAGGTGTGATGGGGACCCCTCTTCCCAGCACTGGTGCCCTGGGCTAGGGAGCCAGATGTTGGCTTTGGATCCCTTGCTTCTGCAGCCAAGAGAGCCTCCTGACTTTTAGTTGCCGTACAGTGGAAGAGAGACTTGCCTGTTCTGCACCTTCACCCGCCCCGCCCCCGCCCCCCAGTCTCATTGTAGCTTCTTTACACCTTTAGTTACAAGACGTTTCTGTTCAGCTCATCTTCAGGTGGCTCTCAGTGGTGGTGGTTCTGTAAGTTAATTGTCATTTTGATGTGGTTGTGGGAGGAGGTGAGCACGATATTTACCCACTTTACTATTTTGACTGGAAGTCTCTATGATTACTGTTTTACAGATGAAAACACGGAGGCAGGTTGAATTTAACAAACTTGCTCAAGGCAATAGGAAAAAAACAACTCTGGGACTTAATATTACAAGGGTTAGAACAGCTTTGAGTATAAATAGCTTTTGGAAGTGCTTAGACAAGTTCATGGGCCTACCACAGGTTGTAATGGAATTTAGATATGCCAGGAGGACATCTGTTGGTGCGTCATCAGAGCCTGGACTTGTGCTAAATCATTTAAGCCACTTATAAGTATTTTAAGTAAAACAATGTACCTCATTGTGAAAAAGGGAAGACCTTTTGTGGTAAATTGTGATATAGTTTTTCATTATTTCATCCTTACGAAAAATTGGTGTGAATTGTATTACTAACTCAATCCTCTTGAGGTTTTACATAGAATGAAGACAAACTGATTTTTTGAGATCATCAACATTAGAATTACTTATCCCAACCTTTCCCCCAAAGTATTCTACAGGACTTACCTTATAAATATGGGACATAAAAATAAATTTTTTTTTGGTCCATGCTGCACACAGAATTCCCTCTGAGTGTTTTCAATGCACATTAGCATGTTAAAGTCAGTAAGGGCTACTGAAGGAAGGAAACTTGTTTTACTTTGCTTAACCCAGACTTTTCCAAACTTCTTGACCCTAGAATTCTTCTACAGTATAGTAATCCTGAAACTTTCTCAGGCCATACTTTGGGAAATAGTGTTTTAGAATATTTCTAATAATATTTATGGTTATATTAAATTTCTACTTGGAATAAAAAATAATAGTGGAGAAATATCAGTGCCCGCAGTCTAATGTCTTACTAAGGTAATGCTCAATACGTGTAATTGTCTAACAATGTAAGTGGTCACTAATAGTGATAGTCATCTTGGTTCTGTGAGACAGTGAACCTGGTTTTGAACAACTCTAATTGTTAGAGACATTTTTTCTCAAAATGAGCTTAAATCTGCCTCCTAGCTATTCTCATTCCTACTTCTAGTTACGCTTTCTGGAGCAACACAGAATCACAGCAATAGGAAAAACCATCCCCCCACCCAAATAACTGATAATTTAGGACTTACATATAGCTTCCTTTATCTAGGCTGAAAAATTTCTTGACCCTTTAACATCCTATATAATAAAAGCCTAATATGCTAAGTGTCCGGTCATCTGGTTGTCTGTTCAACAAATCAAAGCATAATATACTAATGATATGTTAAGGTCACTTAACCACTCACTATCATGTGCACTGACCACCAGGGGGCAGACACTCCGACTGGTAGGTTAGCTTGCTGCTGGGGTCTGGCAGGTCCAGACTGAGCGAGATGGGCTGGACATGCCCTGGAGCCCGCCCATGGTCCTGCCCCGCTGGCCAACCTCCCACATCCCTCCCTGGCCCTGATCACTGGATTGCGAGAGGAATGTCCAACTCTCAGTTGGACATCCCCCAAGGGATCTTGGATTGGAGTGAGTGGAGTCTGGGCCGAGGGACTTCTCCCCCTGCCGTGCATATATTTTGTGCACCAGGCCTCTAGTTCTTGTATAACAGTTCCAGACTACTCAGAATACTCTAGAATTTCCATATCTTGTATGATTTTATTTTCCTGTTGAAATTTTTAATATTGCTTTTCTTTCTTTTTTAAAATCCTCAGTCAAGGATAGTTCCCCCCTCCTTTTTTTTTTTTTTAAGATAGAGTGAAAGGGAGGTGGGGGAAGAGAGAGACACATCAGTGTGAGAGAGACAGATTGATTGGTTGCCTCCCACACATGCCCCTACTCGGCTGGATTGAGCCTGCAACTGAGGTACATGCCCTTGACTGGGAATCCAACCCACATTCTTTGATGCACAGGGTGATGCTCTAACCATTGAACAACCAGCCAG